TATTATATAAATTTTTCCATGATGTATATTGATCTACTTGACGAAATCCATAATACACTGATTGTATTCTAAATATGTGGGATAATAAAGATATTATTGTTAATTTTAAAAAACTTTCTATAATACAAAAATTGCATTTCTATTTTTTACCATTAGTCCAGATAAAGGGAAGACAGTCATAGCTATCGATCTCCCAGAATATATTTTAAAAACCAACAATTTTCTTAAACCAGAACTCTTCCAATGTATCAAATATGATCCTACAAGACATCAAGACAAGTAAAGGAAGTAATTACTAACTCCACACTATTTAGTGACAAAGACAAGTATTTTTTAACAATTATGAATCCACAACCGCCGAAATTATATTCTTTAGTTAAATTACATAAACAAGATATGCCCATTAGAGCAGTCGTGTCTTATGTAACAGCCCCAGCAGTTAAACTCTTAATAAAATTAGTAACTATTTTAAAGTTCCACACAGATTTTAAACCAAAATTTGCAATAAAAAATTCTTTTGAATTAATCAACAAAATTAAAGATATCAAAATCCCTTCTAATGCAACACTATTGTCTTTTAATGTACAAAACTTATTCCCCAGTATTCCACCTAAGGATGTGATAGATTTCACCCTCAGTCGGAAGCAGGTTAGCCCATTGGTGAAACAAGATTTATTAGATTGCTTAATAGTATCTTTAGACCAAAATTATTTTGAATTTAGTGGACAGATTTACATCTCTAAGGAAGTTTTTATTATGGGAAACCCACTTAGTAATTTGTTAGCCAAGATGGATAATTTGGAAAATATCATACTAGAACATCATTTAAGTAAAAGTTTTCTATGGTGGTATAGATACGTGGATGATGTCTTTGCTTGCTTTGTTGGAACGGACAATTGAATTCTTTTTTAAATTACATTAACTCATTACATAATCATATAAAATTCACTATTGAGATTGAACAGGATAACTGTATTAATTTTGTAGACTTAGCTATTACGAAAACGCAAAACAAATGAGATTTTTCCATTTTCCATAAACCTTCACACAGGGACACAGTCATACGTAACAGCTCAAATCATCCTTATACACACAAAAATTGCTGCATACACAGACTTCTTAATACACCACTCTCAACAGAAAATTACAACAAAGAACTTAATATCATTAAACAAATTGCACTGAATAACGGCTTCAACTCTATTTATCGGAAATCTAATGCAGAACACGAACAATTTACAACAATTACATACATAGGAGAGCCCAGTCAAAAAGTTTCAAAACATTTGCCAAAATGTGTGGTATAAAAATAGCTTTCAGAACTAACCATACAATAGGAAAATTTTTAAAAAACAATAAACCGAAATGTCCAAAATCTCAAAAATCAGGTGTCTACAGATTGAATTGCGGATCTTGTCCTAAAATTTATATTGGACAAACAGGAAGATGCTTCAAGAAACACATTAACGAACATAAAAGGGCGTTTAAAAACAATAGTTTAGTTTCTAAATATGCTACACACTTAAATACAGAAAACCACATGTTTGACGACAATTTTGATATTTTACATACAGCCACAAAAAGTAGAAAATTAAAAATGAGACATTCAAATGTATTGCTTAACGATAAATTAGATTTAAATACCTCTCCTTTATTAAACTTGAATTCTTACAACAACATTAATTAAGGTTTTAATGTCATTTTTCGGTATATATATATATATATATATATATATATATATATATATATATATATATATATATATATATATATATATATATATATATATGACACTATATTCCGGGATATCATCCGTTCGCTCGTTGAACTCCGACTGGAATCCTGCATCCGACTGGAATCCTGCAAATCTTGCATCCGACTGGAATCCTGCAGACGTTTCGCCAAAATCTCACTTGGCATCTTCAATGCTCGCGCTCCGAAACACTTCGAACAGTGTTCGAAGTGTTTTCGGAGCGCGAGCATTGAAGATGCCAAGTGAGATTTTGGCGAAACGTCTGCAGGATTCCAGTCGGATGCAAGATTTGCAGGATTCCAGTCGGATGCAGGATTCCAGTCGGAGTTCAACGAGCGAACGGATGATATCCCGGAATATAGTGTCATCACATTTTTCCATCCGTGAATCAATACGTGAGAATATATATATATATATATATATATATATATATATATATATATATATATATATATATATATATATATATATATATATATATATATATATATATATATATATATATATATATATATAATTTCGTGAAAATCTTAACTTTTAGTTCTTATATATTTTGTTAAATGGATTTTCATCAAGTAACAGCCACCTCAGTTCTATATTTAAATAAAAGTACTATAAATTCCTTTGTTCAATTCCAACACGAATGAAAAACTCCTTAAAAATACATTCGACATTCCGACAGTCTAACGATAATACAGTTGAGTTTCAATAACGTTAAATAAAATATGACTGAACAAGCAAGTGCTTTAACCGAACATGAAAATAGGTTTATCCATATATGCACGCGCGTTGGTTGAAAAGACAGACTTTTATTTCCCGGTATAATTTACTTTTTAGTAAAGAAATAAAACCTGTCCACTTAAAAATTTCTTTCCGCCAATTCCGAAAGGGATAATCCACTATTTTCTACACATCTAAAACATCGGCAATTTTTTAGGCGCCAACAGGGGTGTATGTGACAGGTACGTAACAACATTAAATCATCAGCAAACCATATATTTGGAAATAATGATAGATAGGGCTGGACACGCTGTCAGGTTCGAGATTAATACATTCCGCTTTGCAAAGACTTCAACCAATAAATAAACCCCCTGGCAAAAATTGAACCCAGCAAATTGAAAAATATCGTGCGGCCAATTCATAATTTTATAGCCGATTCAATTGCAGTTCGATGGATACACACGAATTTAAAATTTATATTTTACGTATTATTATGGCTTAAAATGTGACAATAGTGATTAGAATAGCACCGGGAAGTGCAAACGGCAACCAAATAAATATTGTTTCAGAACAAAAATTGTTCAGATTTTCACAGTTATTTATTACTTTACGACAGCTGTTTCGACAGCACCGTGCCTTTATCAGTATCAGTGGTATTTGATAAAGGCACGGTATTGTCGTGACAGCTGTCATAAAGTAATAAATAACTGTGAAAATCTGAACAATTTTTGTTCTAATTTAATTGTGTTAAATGTTCAAAAATTTATTTTCCTGCCTGACTACTACATTTTCTTGTTACATGTTGCCCAAAATTGCCCATTTTTAATGCTAATTTTAAAAATGTTAATTTGTTTTAACCCCAGTAGCCATAGGTATTGCTGTATGTATTTTAAACAGATAAAAATAGCCATTAAAAATGCATGTATTTTTAACAGGCAATTTTTTCATGCATGATTATTTTGGTGAAATTTCCATTTTAAAAGTTGCTTTTTAAATGTTGATACAATAAACGATACCTTTTAGCGTCTGTTAGTACGCTAAACTTTATGAAAAATATGCTTTTACCACGCATAAAATAACTTGTGAGCATATAAGGAAAATCAATAATCCCAATACTAGGAGAGAGAGATGAGGATCTTTGTTTGAATTATATTAATTTCTGTGTTTTCTAAAACTAATGTCTGCGCAATTCTCTTAAATTTAGAGCTAATTTAGATTACATATTAAAATAGTGTATTTTTAAACTAATTGCCTATTTTAAAATTATTTATTTCGGAACGAGAAACTTTCAACTGCAATTGCTAGACTGCAGTTACTACTTGCACATTTTCTCAACTTAGATTTTTTCTGTGCCATATTTCATTATTTCGTCTTTATTTACATTTTTCTTAGAAGTTAAACCTATAAGTTTATTAAAACAAACCCTTAGAGAATATTTACCTGAAAAAATACATGTAGAAATTGCGTTGTGTCTGCTGGGCTTTAAAGAGAAAAATTGCATTAAATTTGTAATTATAAGATGTAAACATAGGTTTAAAATACAGTGTTATGAAGTATACTAGCAATATTTTTTGTTTTCTAAAATCTTTTTTGTAAAGTAACGTTGGAGTACTAAAATTTTGTGTAAAGGAAGTTTCACATTTAATATTTTTTATGGCGGATACCTGTGCTGAAAACAAAATAAAACGGCATATAGAAAATAGAAAATTTGTGTATAATTATATTTAAATAGTATATTATGTAACAAGTGCATTTTTTGATACGAGCGGAGCGAGTTTTTAATAAACGAGTGAGTTAAAAAGTTTACCGAACGTGTTGCATACTATACTTTTTCTACGGCCTTTAGTTTTTGGGTACAAGGCGTGGGAAATATCTCCGAAAACATCCGATTGCTCCCAAACCCGTGCGGTAAAATCCCGGAAATGCCCGAAGTAACTCGGATTCGTGGGAAACGAAACTGACGTGTTAAAGTGTCGCTTCCCGCATGCTAGATCGTTGTTTAATTAGGCATTTTACAGACGGGAGTAGAAAAATAGTATTATTAGTGGAATTTTTTTTGAAAAATTAATTGATAATTTTTTGCATAAATAAAATTAAGGCATGAGCGTATATATTCACAAAAAGTGGCACGAAGTCGTTTTACCTCTTATTTCAATGTTATTAAAAAATTGATGAAGTTTCGACTGTACACTGTAAGATCAAATAGTAACGTTTAATTTTAGTCTGAATTTAAAGACGCATGGAGTGTTTTAAGATAAACTATCGTAAAGTACATTTAGTTACTCTGAGCTCTGAATAAAAATTACCCTTATTTTTATTAGTGTAGGCACGAATCAGTTTTAAAATTTCATTACATAATGAAGTAAAAATAATAAAAACCATAAAGATATCAAAGTCTCAAAATTATGTGCATGCGGCTGTGGTATGGGGACAGAAAAAAAATGTGCACTGTGGCGAAGTCAGTTTTAAATTAATTAAAATTTATTGCAATAAATTAGTTTTCTTTCATTTTTTATACGTTTCAATGTTACAGTAGTGCGGATTGCACTTCTTGGTAGGCTTTCAAGTGAGCCAATCGCGCTGCATGAACTTCCGGAACTTCACCGATAGGGCTCCTTGGTATTTCTTCTGCGAATTGGGTAAATGTTGTGCGCAATGGCTGATGCTCTACCTGATCTAACCTATGGTGAACTGGTTGGAGGTGTGGTTCTACGGCGGGATGCAAGAGCGTTGGCTGATGATGAACTGGAATCTAAGACTGACGTGTCACTAAATATTGTTCCAATATTTTTCATAATACTTACGTGCAGTTGTTCACGGGCTTGTTGCATTAGCTGCAATATGACAGGTAGGGGCAGGCCGGTCATCCTGTATCTTTCTTCAGGAGGAAGTTCCGGCAGTACAGCCAAAACATCGCTAAAAGCTTTCAAGTGTTGTTGTTTGGCAATAGCCACTTCCGGAGTATCGGCCGGTAAATGACCTAATTGGTGATCCGCAATTGGACCCGTCCAGGGTTTTATTGTGCTGGGAAATTGGGCTATAGCCAAAGTTAAGACGGAACTTAACTGAAAGTGAAGAAACATTGTAATCCAAACATTATAGTTAGGTATTTTGAACAACAAAAAAAACTAAAAAAGGAGCCTTGGTTGTTTCCATAATATTTTTGAAAAAGCGATTTTGTTTTTATATTTGCTAGTTTTAATACAACTTACATAAGGTAATTTTTATTATTTCACGGTAAAATTAAAATACTTACAACTAGGAACTTCATGGCGGTTATTCGAACAGAGCACCCAGTCGACGGCTTTTATAAGGTAAAGTGAGTCGTTAAATGTCGCTTAAGAAGTTGTTTCGTTAATAAAATCGAAGTTTTCCGACAAGAGAGAACGTGCTAGTGTATGTCACTAACAAACCTGCTTAGCCCAGAGAGCGAGAACTTTTAATTAAGAAAATGACACTAATTATATTTGCCAAAATTATTTCGAAGCGCGTGTTTCAAGCGTTTTTTAAAAAGAAAATTTGCTGTGTTAAAGGGTTTTCTATTTTATTTTAATAAACCAAAAATGTCCTACATAGTGCGGGTCAAATGGAAGCTATAAAAAGTGTACGCTGTGGTAGATCGACCGATATTGTTCTTCGAAAGAAAGAGAAGCACTCAGGAATAAAAAAGAAGTAGGAAGTATACAGTGTAGCCCAATGGGACAATTATAAAGAAAATCTCCACTTTCTAAAAATGGTATAGACGAAACTCGCTGTGACTTTGGGACATTTTACGTTTCCAAGAAAATATTTCCAAAGCACATTTTAAAAAATTAATGGCTTAATAATATATACGCAACAAGTGCAATAAACGGCATTTGAGATTGAGATTTGAGATAAAGAATTTACCCAACGTGTTGCATACTATACTTTTCCTACTACTGAAAAAAAACACAATGTAAGAAATTAAAAATAGTAACAGATTTAAACAAAATACTTACTATTTGCCATTAAACCTATTCGTTTATTGTTCCGATTGTTCTCTGATTGCTGTCTCTTTTTAACTGTGTACGTTAGACAAAGAGAGATGTATTATTGGACATGTCATATTAACAATGGAAAAAATTCAATTTTTAAATGTTATGTTATTTATTTAACGTTTATGATTGATCATTAAGTAGGTTATTTAAAGAAAAATACTGCAATTGGAAGAAAATTCATCTAAGGAGAGAGCTGTCAAATGTTGCTTTTAAGAGGATTAAATTTTTAAGACCGTATAAGCAAGAAAAAGCAGGACCTAACCTTCATTTTTGTTTTGTTTGTATTGATGTAACATGGATATTTGAAAATGCTTCCATTGGTCTAGGCAAGATATTAATATAAATTATTAATATAAATTACTTTTCAAAAGTTGTTTCTGAATTTGTGGGACAAAAATGACAATTTCAAAAAGATGTGCTGAAAAAGGGAGCCGCTTCGGCATTGTAAATTTGCATAAACCTTTTTGTAGGAAATTTGTTGTCAACCAAATCTTCGACGACTATAGTTTGTCTGACTGTCTAACTGAAATTTATAAATGGAATTGTGCTATAAATAAATAATTTTTTTAAATCGTAAAATATATTGCAATTATTAACTAGAATACGGAACTTATCCATCCTGTTTAATAATCGCTGTCATCGCAAATTAACACAGAAAATAAAACAACTAGCTGTATGTTACACTGCATTTCCGTGTTTAGTGAATTTGTGGTGACGTAGGATATGTGTTATTTGGTATATTCGACTTGCCATCTCTGTGTCTCTTATATCTCTTTCAGAAGTTTTAAATTTTTGACCTTAAATTTTGCAGTGTTCTCTAAAGCATTGCGAACAATCAAAATAATAACTTGCCTCTTTGACATAAACATTATTCGTTGTTGACGAGTGGTAACTATATCCCCAATTGTGACGAGATTTACTTACATATTTGCGAGAAAAGTACTTATAATTAATTATAAGCAAAACACTTTAATTCCCTTATCAATCTACCTATGAACTCAAAAAAGTGTGCGTTTTAAAACAAACGAAAAACAAAGTAAACGCAGTGTACCTTACTAAACTGTAGAAACACTATTTTTTTTAGTCTCCAATTAACGATTGATTAACACATTTACAAACTAACCTTTTATTTATTAAGCATTTAAATAAATAATAAATTATGTTTGTTTTATATGGACCACTCTGTATATGAATCATTAAAAATAACTAAGAAGTTGCCTTTCCAAAAATAAAAATATTTTGGGCAACAAGGTATTGTACTACGTGGCCATAATATAGAGTAAGAATATATACCAATAGTGATAGTGGTGAGATTTTGGCTGAGTTTGATTTACAAACACCTGAAAGAATGCAAGAATGCCGAGGCAGAAAGCTCTCAAAGACGCTTTCGGAATATTGCCCACATTCTACTTAATAGTGGTTAGTTTTATAAAAGAAGGCCAAAACACCGTCTATCAATCTATATGGAGTTGCAACAAATGTTTTTTTTGTAGGAGCCGTTCAAAATAACAATGCCCGTTTTCCCATCATTTTATTGGAATTTATTTAAACGATGAAACACGCATTGGTTTTATATAATGTCAATGTCCATTTTTTTTTTTAAAGAAAAATTCATATGAATGTATGTCCTGAACGTCTTAACTATTGAGCTACATGGTGGTAAAGTTTTCAAAAATAAAAAATATTTTTTTAATATCTAAAGTGCTTAGAAATTTGCGATGTACACTTTCAAGCAGCCAAAGATATTTTTCAAATATAATATATAATAATATATTTAAATTAAAAGTGACGCCCGTGCCAATTTTTACTGTTTAAGATTTTTCTCATAATTTTGAGTAATCCACCATGCATCAAAATGGTTTTCATTTTTTTTTACGTGGAGGCGTTCATCGTTCGGGAAAAAGGCAAGAGATAAAATTTGTTCCAAATTGAATGGGAATTTAAAAAAAAAATTATTTTACGTAAAACGAGTGACCTTTCTTTAAAAATTATTTCATACAAGATCTGGTATGAGCGTCCGCGGTAATTTTTAAACAGATATTTCGCATAAAAAGAATATTTTGCCGATGAATCTGTGAAATCATCAATGAAGTATCTAGAATGGTTTGAAAATTAATATAAAAACATTTGTTTCTTAGAATTTTAATACGGAAGGAAAAATGTGTTTATATAGGAAACTGGGGCTCATTTTTTAAGTAGAATACGCCATAAATATTTTGTGCATCAGTTTATGAACACCCTGTGGGGATATCAGTTTAGTCGTTTTGTTAAAAAATCACCAATTAATAAGTTTAATTTTAATAAAAATCGTAGCAGACATTTATGTGTTATTACACAGATACACTTAATATTGGCAATCTAATCTATATTTATTTATACTGTCATCCGTTAAATTTTAATTACATAAATAATCTCACACGTGGTCGCTGAAGGCCGACAAAATAAAATCGTCAAATCATTCGTAAATAATTCACTTCCAATTACGCGGTATCCGCTTTTTGCATTCACTTTAACACTCGTTCAAGGTTTTCCTAGGAATTCCTAAATGCATTAAAATATTTCCAGGCGGCCCCTTCGCTTTAACGACGCTCCTTAAGACCTCATTAAGTTCTTGTTCCAAACAGAATGTCTTATTTAAGCGTAATTAATGCCCCGAAAAAGATTAATAACGTTCCTTTGTATTCGAGCTTAACCATTTTTTCATGTTCCATTAAATAAGGCTTCGCAGCGGGCTTTTTTGCGATTTAACAGAATTTTTCAATTTTTCGAGAGAATAACCGCCGAAACCGATGGTAGAAATTACAGCTTTCCGTTAGCCCGCTTTTACATGAGTGAACTTTAGCGCAAAGGGTATTAAAATCGCGCGAGAACCGAGATATGTACGGGGTGCTCCTTGATAAGGTGCTTTATTTTCTAATAATACTGAAAATAATAATGATAATTGTAATTTCTCTACATGAACCAATAAAGGCTGATTGTAAATGTCTTATTTGGTAAGGTTATGGATTCTTTTCGAAAGCATGTAGTAGAAAAATAAAAACTTTTTTTTTTTGTCTGTCCGTTCTCTATTCTCCATTTCTCCGTTTTCTGTTCCAGGGTTTTTCGACGATAACTTCGGAACGGTTTGAGCTACACGCTTCAAATTTTGCTCCTTTTTAATCGTCCACGGGGTGCATAAGATATGTAAAAATGGCTGCGTTCAAACACGATAAATGTCCGAAATTTGAAGCTGTCAACTTCAAACTTGTCAGGCAAATAGTGTTTGGTCTCCTGACGGAACCTATTAAGATTCGGGGGGTTGGGAGATCGGGAAGTATTTAAAAAAAAATAAAAAATGCGTTTGCAAGGGTCTAAGGAAAAGATCATTTCTCGAAAACTGTTTATGGAACCATAACATTTTTAGATTCAGCATGGTTTTTGTCACACCTGCCTATTCCAGTGATGACTTCACCAACCATGCCCAATCTGTTAATTCCATCACACTCGAGTATCAAATACTACGGGGATAGAATTTTCGTAGTCGTACAATCAATTGAACTACTGGACATAACCTACTAAGTAAGGTGCACTAGTATATCTATATAAGGTCTATATAGATCCTCACAGTCGGATATACTAACGACGTCTCAACTAGTCTAACTGGATATCCTTAGTATGTCCTAACAAACATCCTTCGGACATTCGTATCTGATATACTGTGGACCTGTGGACGTTCCAATTAGTAACATTATATAGCCTTGAGACGTCTTAAGGATGTCCCTTAGCTGAAACAGTATTTCCCTAGGATATACGCTATGTCCCTTCAGATATCCCAAGGACATTTTATGGATATCCTTGTGCTATTTGGGTATCTTTTTAAATGATATTTAAAATGTCAGTTAGAATAGCGTTCCGGGTATATGCTCATTTGACATTTTTAACTTGAAATCACCGCAGAAACTCATTTCCAAACTATGGCCATCATGTGCCCTGGGACGCCCTGTATACACCGCAAAATCCGAATAGTACGATAATCCGATGCTTTTCCTTCTATTATTGACAGCAGAATATGTGTAAAATTATATAAAAATAAATTAAAATAATTTATGGGTTGTAGGACATTGCAAGCAATAAAACCAAAATTTCAATTTCATGACATTTTGAACTATATTTTCTGGTTCGTGGATAATAAAAAAAAGCTTTTGGAGTCACAACGTTTGGTAAGCGCATAAAAACAAACAAATAAATAAAAAAAGGGAAAAAATGTGTGTAA